AACAAAAAATTAGCATGTGGTTGTTATTGCATCAGGACAGTGGTCACTATCTTACTGATTCAGTCTTCAAACTTCAAAAACGCGCCATCTGTTATATGGCCAAGGTTTCTCTTAGATGCCATTGCAGGCCTATGTTCATTACTAATAAAATAGTTAACCAACCTTGCTTATTTTCAAATAAAAGTCAGTTTTTGGCTTATTGGACGTTAATTTAATGATGAAATCAATGCCGACGTTTCGGTGTACTCCACACCATCTTCAGGGCTATTTTATTGATTTTAAACAAATATGTTCATTTTTTTCATTCTTCACAAACATTTCCAAAAAAATTGGACATAAAAAACGGAAAAACACGTAAAAAAGGAAAACCAAACCAAAGGAACGCTACCATACACGCGCGTACTACAGAACGACTTCTAATTCTGTGTAATTCTAAGCCAATAAGCCAAAAACTGACTTTTATTTGAAATTGTTGTGGACAAAATTCTAAAAGCTTGCTTATTTTTCCTGGAAATATTGACTACCTATATTTCACGCGTTGTATCCGGATACTAAGTGGATTATTAATCCATATTCGTTTATTTCACAACTATTTAATGGATTGAGAATATTCTTTGATTAGGATTAGTGTTAATCCTTTCTCAATCAAGCCCGTAGGCATCAAAACATTCTGCCACCCAATCTAGCCATAGCCCGGAAACATGACCAATCAAATTCGATGTGGCTATTTTGGGTGGCATAATGTTACTACATGCGCTTAATCAGGGGTCAGAATGTCGGGACGATGATGGAGCTATTTAAAGGGTCAGAAGTCAGAATGCTATTGCATTTGCTAGATTCAGGGTCAGAATGTTACAGGCGATAGAGCATTAGTATTAAATTTAACAAACAATGTTTGATGTTGAAAAATCTATAACTGTCTTTTGTACGTGTTATTCAATTCAGAAATTTAGATTTTATTCGTGTTCCTTATGGATTTTTTTCATGAATATATTGATTAAATTGTTAGTTTTTTTATTGAAACGGAGGAATTAAGAAATATTTCCATTTTGGATATAAAGGATTAATAAATTTAGATTTAGCATTAGGTGTTTTACCTTAATTAAAAAAGCACGTAGGTATAAGAAATAAAAAAAAGAGAAATAGTACCTATTGTTTGCCCAGCGGATCTGAGTCTACGGAAGGAATTCGGACATAAATGTGCCATGTTGCCACGTTTAATTATAAAAAAGCGAAAATACTAGGCAAGAAGTATAGTTCATTTAAAAATCCATTTTTTAATAACAAAATATTGATAACAATGATAAAACGCTAAATATTTTAATGTGGTTGTTAGATCTATTCTTATTTTAATCCTGATTTCTTCAATTTAGTCTATTGTAAAAAATAAACATTTTCTAAAGATACCATCAGCTTTTGCCTATTTGGCAAGCATCCGGCCTGGATGAGCCTGATTGGTGGAGTTTTTGGCAGGATCGCGGTTGCCATGGGGAACCATACGGTTGTCAATGAGCTAACGTCACCTTACGTCTCGCTATTGGCCAGGTCTGACGTCATTTTATCCTCCCATCTTGGAATATCGATTTATATTGAAATATCCAGTGGCGGAGGTTTGGTCATTGTCGATTTTTGTGTACGAGTTGCAATACGATAACACTTCCAAAAAGTTCCGCACGCAGCTGGGTATTTTATGAATGAAATCAGCCATTTTTTTTTTACGACTGCATTCCCCTTACCGTTGCCCCGTAGACACAGAGTCGCTGGGCAGACACATTAATGGCCGTTTGCACCGACTGTTTTAAGGAAGCCTTAACGATAAGTCTATGTTGAAATGACATTTTTGCATGGAAAAATGTCACTTTAAGGAATAACTTCTTATCGGTAAGCCTTCCATAAATTGGTCGGTGAGAGCGGCCATTAATGTAGGTACTATTTTTCCTTTTGCACGATAAGTGTTTTCACTCACATTCGAATAAACAAACGCCGTGGATAGTTTTATCGCATCCATCTCCATTAGGAATAAATATTAAAATGTCTTCGGATAAATTTCAATAGAGCAATGAGCGACAAATAAACAAAACATGCGGCACTTCTAGCGGACAAGTCCAACAGGCCGTCCCGACATTCTGACCCCTGATCTAGCCCATCTAGTAACATTATGCCGCTCAAAATAGCCATATCGAATTTGATTGGTTAGATTTCCGGGATATGGCTAGATTGGGTGGCAGAATGTTTTGATGCAGCCGCATGTAGTGATATTTGGCAAGTAACTTGACTTGACTGTAGTTTGGCAAGTACTTGTACAAGTGAAAGTAAACTGTAGGTACACACTATGTGCCGAGTAGCCAATGCTGTATGCCGTGAACGTGAACGCAAGCTTGTGATTGAATGTGTTTGTGGATTAAATATTCATGGAGTCCGAGAGTGATACTCGTATTTAAGCTGCAGCATTTGTAAACATTTGTTGTGGTTACCTTTTATTAAAAAATAAAAAAAAGTCTAAACAATTTTCGAATATTGCCATTAACGATTTTTTCTTCATTAAATGAGCACAGGAATTTCTTCAGAAAACTCGGCTTGAATACGTTTCCAGGAATTGTGGACTTAGTTTATATTTTTGTATGCAAAGCAAGACATGTGTAGCTTCCCAAATAACAGGATCCTTTGCATCCTAGCATGCTCCACTCCATTTCAACCACTAACAAAACAATCAAAACTTGTCGCGACTCAAACCGAGTAATGTAGCGCTTCGACACCTTACTCGAAACTTGTCAAATACTTGGCAATTACTTGGCAAGTATCACGTACTGAGTAGCCGCCTTTAGGTTTTTTCTTGAAGTTAGCAACAAACTTCTTATGTCCGAGATTCAAGATGTTTATTTCACATTTGAGATAATCCATTTTCAGTTCAATCCTACAAATTTGGAGGATTGGATTAAGTATACTCCGATCCGGATAAACTCTCTAATCCTGGCTGTTTATTTCAGGATTATTAATCCCTATTATTAATCCAATCCATTTCGTATCCGGATACAATGCGTGAAATAAACGTAGTCAGTCTAATCCACGAAAATATTTCCATATTTCCTGCTCATCAAGCCAATCGTCCCATTCGACAAAATACTAATATACCTCTTCCGAATCCCCATTCGCATTCACCTCTCGTTGAAAAATCCATTATCTATGAATCTATGATTAAAATTTACAATAATCTTCCTTCATCTTTTAAGCAAATCTCTGAGCTCTCAAAGTTCAGAAAAACAGTTAAAGAAGCTCTGCTGTTGCAAGCATTGTATTATTCAGTTGATGAGTATACCTACTTTAATGTTTCCTTCTAAAAAAAAAAACACATAGGTAAGTAGTAGGTAGCCCTTTTTATTATGTTTCTCTTTTTTACACAACTAAAACTATTATTCATCAGTGGCTTTTCTACACTTTTCTCTGTTGCCTTCGAGATTCCTGATTTTAATTTGGGTACCCTCACCTAATTTCTACGATTACGTACTCTATGTCGAGGTTTGTGTATTTAGTATTTAATGTCTGTTGTAAAGCGTTCTTTCCTTTTTTTTATGTCCCTATACTTGTTTCTGTGTTTTTTTTTTTTTTAAATAATAATGTTGACTACCTTACTTCCAGTATTCCGATTCCGGTTACTATACCTATATACCAAGCCTTTCTTGCACTTATTTTTTAGAATTTAGAATTAAGGTATAAAGTTTTGTAATAAGTTTATTGTGACTTGGACAAAGCATATGTTTTCTTTCTTTCTTTCAATTTGATATTCAAATCAGCCAATAAATATTCTTCGAATTAAATTTGCGATCTCTCTGACCCTTTTAGGAATGCCCCGAAATTCTCCCGTTACAGCATTCACCACCCACTGGACTAGGAGACCCTTTCCGGGCAACTACACGTATTCGGCATCTGCGGCATGCATTATTCATGTCCAGCCTGGCCGCTGTCCTAAGTTTTCGCCCCGCAGCCCCTTTCCAACCCCATCTTTCTCTCTCGAACAAGAAATCCAACCCTTGTAAATAGCCACTGACAACCCTCTGCTGCCGAGGTACGTGCCGATGTCGGCCCGGTCGACATTCTTGTCCGGGGTTCAACACGGAAAGAAGAATGGTGGATGGGGGTGCACCTTCTGAATATAAACTATTTGCTTTTGGTGACAGAAAGGGTTTTTTTTCGAAACTATTTGAAAATACCTTATCTACGTGTAAAAAATACGATCACTGACTTACCTAGGGGAGTAACAGCGCCGATCATTATCATTTCCCAATTCATCCTGGCAAAAACTCTTAAAATAAAATAAGTTCATATTTGGTATAGGTTTGAAAATTTAAAACATATTTATTTTTTCATTTGTCCTCTGTAATCGCATTAGTAAATCAAATTCCTTGATTAACACATTTATAATTTGAATCGACATATACCTACCAAACATCTTGCATTGTCTTCAAGTCTAGAGGCATTGTTTCTTTGAATACATTATGAAAATGAATCCCTAATGGGTGGTATAAATATCTCAAAAGGCTAGACAAACACAACAGCCGATATAGCGGGTTGGAGCAATGAGAAAGTTTAAAAGGGAATTAAGAAAGGGCCTGTCAAATGTCGTCACCACTTAAAGGGACGACAATAAACTACTATAGAAAATTCAAAGTAGGGTAATTCGATCCCAATGCTCGTTTTTCTTCTTTGACAAAACAAACTGCCCACATAATAGCTGTCTGCCCTACAAAAGAAGAAGTTGGAATTTCATTTCCGACGTTGAAGTACGTACGCACTTCTGTTTTTAATTTTTACTGATGCGACAACAATTTTTTGTAAATTATTAAGAAGTTCCTTCCATTATTGTGCGAGCCGTGTGAAAACGATTACAGTTACAAGAGTTGTTATTGTCTCAAAGAGTAAAGTAGAAAAACAAACCGTACTGTATTGCTTCAAACAGAAAACAGTGGTAAATTATGTCACTAGTGCGGTAATGAATTTCATCTCTTCTATAGATTCAGGCCATAATGTAATCAGGATATGTTCAATAAGTTTCTATTTTGTACAACAAGTTTGGATGTATGTGTATAGGATTTATTATACCAGTAAAATACAATAACCGTTAGGTTTCAATTTGATTTGATCAAATTGACCACATGACGATTGATTTAGAAAAAATACAATAAAAACACAACAAATTATTATTTGAACATAAACACAATAAATAAGACGGTACCCATTAACGTTGAGGAGAATGCTTTCATTGCTGATGATGTTGACGTTGACTGAGCCTTGAGAATTATGCACTCGTGAGGCATCAAAGTGACACTTTGCGGCAAATTGTCCCTATGAAATAAGACAAAAAATATAGTGTAAGGTATTGAAAATTGTTTTCTATTCTTACCCCATTGAAAATTGACTGTTAACGTCTGTCACCAAAACAACAAAGTTAAAACTACTATTATGAACATTTACAGTCTCTATACCATTTCCACTATTGAAAAGATAAACAAATTCTCCTTTATTAGTAGTTCTATTGATCATCATAACATCATCAGAAAGCTTTAACAAAGCCACCTCATCATGAGTAATGCCTTTGAAATGCTGCCTAAACTGAACCATGCTCTTATAGACATTATAATGTGACCTTATTTTAGCAGAATTTCCATCTAAAAGATTTGTCGTTTTGTATTTTTCACTCACTGGAAGCCAAGTTGTAGAATTTTTGCTAAATCCAGCATTGAAACTGCTGTCCCATTGATAAGGGGTGCGTTCAAAGTCTCTGGAAGTTTCATTGAAGGTTGAACAGTTTTTAATTGCTTGTGGATCATGGCCTTGTCCGCACGTAACTGCTCCATCTTCCATTCCAATTTCTTCTCCCATGTATGTGACTTGGATGCCAGGCAAAAATGCTGTTAACATATTCAAAGCGTCTACATTATGTATCCCTAGTCTGCTGGCTACGCGGTGCTGATCATGATTGCCTAGCTAAATAGAAAATATGTACTATGATAAATTATCAATGTTTTTTTTGGGTTAATATAAAAATCTTACCACCCAATTGCTGACGTATTTCTGTGGTATGTTACTCAGCCATTTATTGACAGCATTTATGATATTGTCAGCACTGCTATCGGAAGTAATAAGGTTAAAGTTGAATGTGAAGTGGGCTCCATCAACAGTGTTATTACCGTAATAGGCAAAAGTTTGACTCATTGTTTTGGTATACGCTTCTGTCATCATAATTCTGAAATTAATTGTATTTTCAATGATAGGTTCTTCTGGCATAGGATTTTTCGTTATGAAATAGCTATTTATGTATAACAAGTTGTTAAATGAGCGTGTTTTTTGCACTAAATGTGAAGATTCATTCACAGATTATTCGTATCCCTTTTGGTGTGACTAACGGCGACATGAAGAGATTGGATCAAAAGTTACAGAGTAGTATGAACTTCCAAGACCTTGAAATGCATTACCACCATATCAAAAAGAGTATTCACAGTGCAGCATTTGAAGCCCTAGGCAAATACGAAAAAAATGGAAGAAGGCCCTCACCTTATTAGTAGGATCAAGAAATAGAGAAAGACATAGCAGATAAAAGGAAGAAATACCAACAGTATCTAAGTTCAAATAAGACACGAGATAAAGAAATATATAAAAAAGCACAAGCAAGAGTACGAAATAAATAAAATAGTACAAAAAAAGAACGAGTCATGGGAAAGAAACTGTGCGCATATTGATAGTTATATGGGGGGGGGGGGGGGGGTAAAAGAAACACAGAAAGTTGGAGATTACTAAAAAATATGAGGATAACACAAACCAAGGATATTATCAATACAATAACACCCCAACAATGGGAAGAGTACTTTGAAGAATTACTGACAGAACAGCGGGCAGAGTTTAAAGAAGAAAAGGAACAGACACGAAATATAAAAACTGCAGGATCACCAATAAGAGTTATGCAGGAAGAAGTTGAAAAATACTGTAGCTTCTTGAAAAACGGTAGAGCACTAGGCCCAGGAGAAATATATGGAGAACTGTTAAAAGTATGGGACCAATAAACTCTATTCAACCGGAAGAGTGGAAAATAAGCTATTTAATAACAATATATAAGAAAGGAGATAGAAACAAATGCGAGAACCACTGAAGAATTGCAGTAACAAATACGCTGAGCAGAGTGTATGGAAAACTCATAAAAGCCAGAATATAGAATGAGTACAAATATAGTGAGACAGAAGAACAGGCTGGTTTTAGAGCAGGAAGATCAACTGTAGACCATTTAGTTTGACCCAGATAATGGAAAAGAAACTAACGTATAACCAAGAACTCCATTTACTCTTTGTAGATCTAAAGAAAGCATATGACAAGGTTCCGCTGAAAAAGCTTTGGGAAGCACTGGAAAAGACCAATATCAACTTAGAACTAATAAGGGCAAAAAGACGCTCTATAGTGATGCAAAGACCAAGATCAAACAGGGAAACATAATCAGTAAAGGCTTTATAGCAACTAAAGGACTTAAACAGGGATGCTGCATATCACCAACACTTTTTAAAATATACTTATAACAAGCGCTTAAGGAATGGCAGACACATGGGAATACCGCTCAATGAATACAATCTATATAACTTTAAGCTTTGCACATGGTATTAATTGCACAGGACTATGATCACCTAGAGTACCTACAAAACACGAAAATTGATAGAGGAATACGAGAAATGGGGTTTGGGAGTAAATCTAACTAAAACAGAATATATGACTATTGGATGTGAACAACGAACTCTGAAATTGAATACCGGAAAAGCAATAAAACAATGTACTGAATACAAATATTTCGGCATCAAAATCTCCCATGAGGGAGCCCTAGACGAAGCAATTAAAGATATTCAACACCATAGTCGAAAGCATAGTCACATATAGTTCAGAAGTCTGGCCACTAAAGAACAGAACCGCAAAAATGCTGAAAGTGCGTGAAAGCAACTGAAATGGACTTTTCGAGGAGATCGGCAGGCAAGTCAAAAAAGGATAACAATTCTGAGAATTAAGGAGATTATGGACGTAAAACACACAATAGTAGTATAAAGGACAGACAGCTAATTTGGTTCGGACATGTAGAAAGAATGGCAGATACAAGAATACCCAAGCAAATTATTGAGTGGAAGCCAGGGGGAAGAAGAAGACGCTGTAGACCAAGAAAAAGAAATTACAAGGCAGCACTTCTAAAGTCAAAATAGGACGCAAAAAGTATCACAAGGATTTCTTGTCAACGAGGGATTGAAACAAGGATGCTGTTTATCTCCTACGCTCTTTAAAATCTACCAGGAATGAGCACTAGCAACTTGGAAAAGAAAATGCAAAAATATCGGTATTCCATGGATTCTACAATGTATAGGTACTCTGTGTTTCGCGGACGATCAAATTATTTTGGCACAGGACTACGAAGAGTTGGAATACATGACAGGGGAGCAAGTAGAAGAGTATAAGAAATGGGGGCTGGAAGTGAACCTTGGTAAGACAGAAATATACAGACCGGACCAACCTACTAGACACATAGGGATTAATGAGACTAATCAGCTTGTACCCGCTTTAGGCGAATCGAGGCGGTGATGCCGAAGCCGAGCATAGTCGAGCTGCTGAAGATGTAGAGATTTTAATAACTTGCAGTGAAATAGGTATCAGTTAACTGGTACCATTGAACACTATTGGTGGGTATTATAAAACTATTTTGACAGAATAACTTGAAGTTAACTTCTGGAATGACGTAACTTTTCATAGTAATTCAGACGTTAACTGTTATTTATCTGTCAAAATAGTTTTATAATACCCGCCCTTTTATGTGTAGTAGCCTAGTCCTGTGTGTATGTCCATTACACATACAGAGAAGAACAGCGAGATTTGATACTGGAAGAAACACTACAAAATACAAATACTTAGTAATGTTCATTTCAAATAATGGGAGGTTAGATGAATCAATTGCACACAGAAATAACCAAGGAAGAACAGCGATAAAACAACTGAATAGTATTCTGTGGGACAAAAAAGTATCAAAGAATAATACAAAGTATAACAACATACAGCAGTGAAGTTTGGCCTTCGAAAGAGAAAACAATCAAAATGCTCGAAACTACGGCTTATTGGAGACGTGCTACAGGAATCTTAAGACGCGACAAAATAAAAAACGAGAGAATTATGAAGAATGAAGTAGAACATAGCAGTCATAAGATAAGAGATAATTAACTCGGGTGCTATCGGCATGTACAACAGATCGATTACCTAAACGAACAAGTTGGCCAGCTCAGAGACGGAAAAAGAAAGGAAGGTCTAGATCAAGTTGGAGTGAAAGTATCGATAAAGGTATTTTAGTGGGGCTAGAAGAGGATAGAGACAAATGTAGTCGGAAGACAGCGCAAAACCTTTTGACCCTATTTATATATAGAAGGAATGTTGTTCTATTTTTCAATCGCCTCATTATCAAAATAACCTTTGATAATCGTGAAAGTACAGAGAAAATTTGTCATTTATCGTTTATAGAAGCCATTCAATGCTTATTTTTCTATTCAGGATTCTGCATAGGTTAAATATCTGTTTGTCCTTGAAATGGTCTCTGGAATCGCTGTGGGACGAGCTGATGTTTCATATTGTCAGACAAACTGTAAGTTTTACGCAGTTAAATACAACATATTAGAGAGATATCGGTGAACCAGATAGCGCGTATGGACGGTAATAACTTCAGGAGTTATTTTTTTCACGTGAAGCGGTATCATACTTTTAAATTTACAGTTATCGGAAAACAGTTTAACGTAAAATTTGCCTATTCGCATCCGGTATTTTATAATCTTAACCTAACTTGTAACTTCCCAGCCAGCATGTTACATCCCGTGATGTCTCGCGATGTATTTTTTTTGTCAACATGGGTATATTTTCTTGTAACTCACCATCAATATACATGAAAGATATACTATTTTTGTTATAATGCGAAATTAATTTGTTACGTTCAATGTATATAATCGATATGGCACCATGGTATGTTCAACCAAAAGACAAATATTCATGTACCATTAATGTAACTTTGTGATATATTACCAAAAGACAAAATATTCATGTGCCATTAATGTAACTTTGTGATATATCAGCAATATTGCAATATTATGTAACTACCCTATACAATTCAATTATTTTGGCGCTCTTCTGTGGCAGATTAATGTTTTAATATTTGTTTCCAATACAGGGATGCCAGACTACTGAATGTACCCCTAGTTCTAGAGATATTTACATTACACTACTGTCCTGTAGGGCTTCCTCGTATCAGTGAATTGGCAACACTTCCGCTATTCGGTTCTATTATTCTGTTGATTATAAAAATGGACTGAACTGAAGCCATTTTCTTATGCCGTTGTCTGTTGTTTTGTCTCTGTTCTGTTTGATGAACTGTGATAAATGCTACATGCGAATTTGTTGGAGCCTATGGTAAGTTTATTTGGTACCGATCGATAAATATTTTACAATTCAAAACATTATTGTCTTGAGTCTTGCCTGATAAATGAAAATTGAATTTTTGTATTTAGGATAATGCATCACAAAATCAAATGCTATACAGAGGAGCTTGAGACTATGGTGTTCGAGTGGCTGCGACAAGCAAAGCAGAGACTCATGAGAGAAGAAAAAAATCGATGTAGATTATGAAGTGGTGGTTGTTTTAATTGGAAAATTACATCCAGAGATTCGTGAAATGCCATCTGCGATGTGATTGTGCCTTTAGAGCTTGGACAATAATACCTACGTCCCTCTACCCCTATACCTAACAAATAATTGAGAAGGTAGGTATGTTTTGTTTTTTTTATTTTCTTATTTATCGGTCAATAGAAAGTTAACTTGAAGTTTTAATATGTATCTAATAAAAAGTTTTTTTCCTATATTTTGTATTTTATTTTATACCTAACCAAAAAAACTAACATACTTTTTATGTAACAATGTCATGTAACATCAACATTAAATAATAATATATGCAGGATATACCGAATACAAAATACAAGGGATGTTACAGATCTATGTCTCATAGGTATTGCGATGTTACATACCCGTTACGTGTTAAAAAGCATGTATCCTCTATATTCTCGTGAAATACCCCGGCGATATTATATTTGAGTCATACCCTGAATGTAATTTTCTGGAGCGTAGTTGCGGAAATTCGGCTATCGCAGAGCTATCTATGTGATTTACAAAGTACATCGCATGAGAGGTTTAACATCCCCAATTTTAAGTAACTTTACATCACTGGCTGGGTTATTATTAATTTGTCACTGTGGATTTTTTTGTTTTGGTCAGAGTCGCAGGATTTGAATTTTCGATGCTTTTTTATTATTTTTGAACATCAGTTTAACATAACATAACCTATAACATTCAACCCAGCCCGTTGTCAAAAACCTGCGCATGCCCATTTGAGCATTTTTCAGGCGTTTTTCGAAATAGCGCTTAACGTAAATGTTGGGTAAATTACCTTATGCAGTAACGTTATTTCAGTACGTAGTGTTAAAAATCGAATCGCGCATATGTTTAATGTCAAAATAACCTTGGCGCTAATACTGCATGATGCTATTTGAGTTACCGATATCTCTCTAATATCAAATCGGTACTCAACTCCGTTATGGATCCAACACCCTAACAAGGCGCAACAACGCCGAAACGCTCTGTGGTTGGAGCGCAACGAAACTGGGTACCACTTTACCATCAATCGACTCTGTTTGTAAGATTAGATTTATTGAACGAAGATGACGCAGAAGCGTTCTCTTCCACTCCAACCTGGCCTTATTTCTTTAAAAGCTAAGTCGAATAGAGATTTTCATATTTGAAAACTGTTTTAATCTTCTGCAGCTTCATCTGCACAATTAGCTAGAAGTTATTGCCTACAATGACCATTGTGTGACTATAGTAATGTTTAACTAATATTCATAGAGTCAAAGAGAACATTAACATCATACCTGGAATACGTTACATTTTTGTCCCTATTGTAGTTATCCAATACAGCCCTGAACTGATAAATCATGTCATAGGTTTGTTCCAAATTGCTGGTATAAATGTGTTTCAAATACCCGTACTGGTTGGAGCTCATACCATCAGCACCTTCAATAAGTGTAGATTAGATTTTTTCTGATTATCTAAAAATTGCTTACCTGAAAGTGGTTCATCAGGAAAATTTTCATCTTCAAATAAATATGGGACGGCGTCCATTCTGAATCCGTCAACTCCAAAATCAAGCCAGTAAATAAGTACCTCCTACAATAAAATGATGAGTATTGAAAACTATTTTTGCAATTTTTAAAATTTCCCAACCTTCATTGCTTTAACTACTGCAGGATTTCTATAGTTCAAATCTGGTTGTGCGCTGGCAAATTGATGCAAGTAAAACTGTTTTCTGGTATCGCTGTAAGTCCACGCAGAATCGCCAAATATACTTATCTAAAAAATTTCTCTAAATTTTTTGTAAATGCAATACATTTATTTGACTAACCCAATTATTTGGCGGAACTCCATCAGTACCTCCATCTTTCCAAATATAAAAATCTGCAAAAGTATCGTTTTTAGCGACGGACTGCAGAAACCAATCGTGTTTATCGCTGGTATGATTTGGTACAAAATCCATAATTATTTTAATTCCGAGTTCGTGAGCTTTTTCGATAAGTTCTTTTAGATCTGACAGATTTCCAAACATTGGGTCAACGTCTCTGTAATCTGATATATCATATCCCTGATCTACACCTGGTGATGGATAAATAGGAGATAACCAGGCAGCATCGATTCCCATATCTTTTAAATGGTCTAGTTTACTTATGATGCCTGTAAAACAATACATTTTAGTTAAAAGCGTTTTTCAAAGACCCGAAGTGGTTAATATCTCATAATCAGCATATAATGTTTAGTTACAGTGGTGGCTTGTGAATATGCTGCCTCAAATAATTCAAGGAAGCTGTTCAACAATTCAAAGTGACCATCCATTTACCTTGATTATATAGAAGATAAAATAAAAATGTTTGGACACAGACAAGCTATAGTTTATGTAATATGATTGATTATTTGAATTTAAAATGGTTTTTTCTTTCATGCTGGAAACGGAAATTCAGTCCTATGCTTTTTTTTTTAAATAGATATTGCTTTTTATAGAATAGATTTTTGATTCATACCTTGTAAATCGCCATAACCATCACCATCGCTATCCATAAATGATCTAGGATATATTTGGTAAAATATGGCATTTTTCCACCAACCGTCATCTGTAGTACTTTCTTCAGATGTCAGTACTATATGGTGTTTTAAGATACCCCCATTTACTAATGTTGCACAAAATAACAAACATATTTTAAAATTCATTTTGGATAAACTGTAGGCTTGATGGTTGCTCGAGTTTAAATAATAATTCAAAAACTTATCTTTGATAATGTAATTTCCTTGTCCATTAACTCCGTTGAAGTAATTTTTAATCTATAGATGAGTATCTAGGTACATGTGATAATGATTTTTAGAAAAAAAACCACTTTATTGTGCTTAGGTGTTATGTGGGAAATAATAATTTAATATTTATTTGGCAATTATCCTAGGCACTCGAGCGCTTGAAGTATTATAGTGGCATTAAAAACATTATTGGTCTACCTACATGACGGAACAGATTTAAATAAATATCCAAAATTATGTATAACATCACTATTCAGAACAAAACAATTATTATTCTCGGTTAGAAAAGTATGTTCATTCACTCATTTTGTGCTAAGGTCAAAACTATTATGCTCATATAATAACTTGTCATAATGCAAACTACATAAAATATTGTATAATACCTTATTAGGTTAGGTACATCTCTACCTCCTCAGCATCGAAAACAAATTGGAAAAAGCTGACGGAAAACTGCAAAATCAATCCGCCATCACAAAGTTCGATAGTTTTTCCATAAAATGATTACTAATAAAACGATAAATATTAAAAAAAGAGTTGACGAAGGGAAAATAAGTTATTTAAAAATTTTATAACTTTATCTGTGGTTCAGATTGTACTTATGTTAAAATTTTCGAAACATATCAACAAATATGATTGATTATTATACCTATGAGTCCAGGATAATTAGACATTGACCCGGACATTAAAAATAACAAGCTAAATATTGGTGGACATGTTGAGTATAGTGTTCTGATTGATATAGTGAAATTATCAATATAATGGTTGCAGGTCATCAATGACGTCGAAATTATTGCCAACTGCAGCCAATTTGTTCCTTACTTGGTGGTAAACTCGGTATGAATCTAGTTTGGCCGCTGCAGATGCAGGCGGAAGTGTAGCTACGTCAAAGGTCATTGTGAGTGACTGTTTGACAACTGTTTTCTGCTAGAGCCGATGTCTGGCGTTGTTTAAGTTGCCTCCAACTCCACAGCCGTACAATGCAAGAAGAAAGCGTTCGCCTGCAACCGCAATATCCTGGTGTGCGTAGCATTCGATACGTTAAAGACGGATACTATCTTCCTTAAAGAAGCGCCTTGCTTGAACTTCTTAAAAGAACCCTTTTTGTCTTTTCTAAACGGAGCAGAAGTGGTATCACATCCAGTTGCTGCATGGAAAAACAACAGATAGTTACGGAGATTTCCAAGAGCCGCGATTAGCTCTTCATTACTAAAGACGGGCTTCTGCATCCTTTCTTCCCGGCATCAGCATGTGGATGTACGCAGGTTTCAGGGCTGGATGAAGCTGACATTAGGACTAGAAGATCGGTGTCCTCTCCTACTATCACTAACACCGCACCATTGTTAGCTGCTTTCACAGCATTTTCCACTAAGATGGTATCCGCATCACCCGGGGCTTGAATGATCTTGTACCAGTTTTCATTAGGTGTCTTGATAGCAAAGCTATGAATCGCACCTTGTTTTTCATATTTGCCAAAAACGCTCCTTGTTGTGATGTTGAGGGCAAAGCATCGTCGATTTGAATCTCTGCCGATGCTCCTCTGGCGTTTCTTTTGGTATGTTCTTCATCCTGAGCTTAGAGATCATCCTGTGCTTAGAGATTCGTAGCTGTCAAAAACCACAGTAGCATTTTGCCCGAAGTGGTTTTTCACGTACTTCTGAAATTTGTTGGACGCGCCCACACAACCCTGTGTAAAAGAAACTGGAACAGATTGTAAAATCTGCATTCACTGAAAAGTTGTTCACAGGCGGCGCTATTTCTTCTAAAACGTCTATCAATCTAGACTTAGTGCCTTTACGCATCAACGTTCCGTCAAACACTGGAGGTTTTGCTGCAAGTTCATACCTCAATTACTCCTTGAGGTCAACATCGTCACGCACAATACAATCGTTGAAAAAGTTGGTTGGGGTGGATTTATTTGGACGACAATGTCTTCGATCGTAGCCGTTCTAGACGTTGTGACGAAGCTCGTGACTTTGTTGTTTCGTTTCAAGTGGACGTTTCTAAATTTTTGCCCTGTGATTGATTTTACTGCTTGCAAACCACGGAAGAGAGCTTCATCACAGTTAACTGTATCGTCGGCTATTACACCGGCAGACAAAGACACTAGATGGTTCGTTGAGTAGTTGAAAGGATGATATGACTGGAGCCAGTTTACCATCTTCCTAACGTCTGCCTTATCTGTCATTTGCCGTGACTCTCTTAGCTCCACATGCTGGTTGGAGGTTTCGGCAGAGACTCCACAAACCATTCCAGTAGCGTCTATTACATTTATAGATGAAGGCATGGCACAAACCCATCGACCAATGACGCTATACGTTAATCCACGTCCACGTGTGAGTCCACCCGCCGTTTTCATATTTGTCATCAACACTTGATCTGTTGTCATATCGGTCCATATGCCTGACCAGAACTTTCCAGTTCTCCTGACAGTATAAAGCAGTCTTCGTTGACAAATTGACGGAATTCCAATGGAGTCAACCTTAGGTCATAACAACCTCGAGCTTCTGCATTCGTTGTAGGAACATGTGAGCACATTTTGCATAGTTAAGATGTCTCGCAGAGTGGAAAAACGGAATCATTCTTTGGACACACAGCAAGTGAAGAGCCCAATCTCCGGAACGTTCAACTCTGAGAAACAGATGCATGATACCAACCATCTCAAAGTATTGCACCCACAACTTCGCAGTGCGCCGTTTAGACGCAATAAGACCTTTTAGTTTAGCGTCGACCATATCTGCTGACTGAGAGACGTACAAAGAGGAGGTCTGAGTGTATTTGTTTTAAGTTATCGCTTAGAAGAGTGTCGATATCTTCTATACCTGAATGATCAAGATCACCAACCACAGCTGCGTCAGAAAATATTCGCGGAGAGCTGGCGCGTAGGCATGGCCGTTTACCATATGGGTCACCGTGTTCTTTGCGTACACTATCTCCCACAATTCTTCCAGGCCGCTACCTGCCATTATGGTTCCCACAGCGCCCATAAACGACATCAGCATGTGAAAGCCACCGAGGCGCAAAACAATACACGACAACGGGCTCTCTTCTCCAGCCGCAAGAACGATGTCCAGCGCCTTCGCGTAGAGAGGTTGGTCCAAAGGTACCACGCACGTCGACTGCTGCGCCTTTCTGCATATTTCCACGGCGAATAGAAGACAGGTGTAAATCGTAGTAGGATTGGAAGGCGAAAGGTTGACGAACGGCAATGGAAGAGCTTTAGCGGTCTTGAATTCTTCTTTAGATGTTACTGCGTCCATAAATCTATTCCAGCCAGGCCCTGGAGTTTCTTGGAGCTGATACCCCATATTCACATCATATCAATGAGATTGGCTTCCTTGGCTGAAACAGATTCTGGAAGAGCAGCGCTAATGTCTTCCGCAACGATAAGTGCTGTACCGATTCTGGGCTTTTCATAAGGTATCATCTCGATTGTACCTATAGACCTCAACTCTGTTGTCGGAAGTTCTTGAAATTGAATCGCTTGCTTTAATGGCTTGTGAAGGCGTTATGCACCTTATCACTCCCATGGCGTGAAAGGTGTCATGACCATCTGAAGTCCTCATGTTGTGGTCAGCATTGTCGAATACAAACTGTACAAATGCATCTTTTTCCACTGATGGAATCAGCGCTCTTTGCAACTGCATCCTCAAAACGAATCGTTTCCGAGTACGTCGCACGTACACCAAGTCTATCAAGTAACAGCCTCGAGCCATATATCGTCGATGAAGGGTGACTCGTAATCCGAGTTGTAAGGGAGAAACTAACGAACATGGTCGGGCAGCAGCAACTATCGAATATGCGATTGTTGTAGCTTTTCTTTTTGTAACGGTGTTTTCATCGAATAATTTGCGAGTTTGAAGAACAGTTTCCAGAAAACGTTGTAGAGCGGTCGGGATCAAATCCTCATTTCCAAAGGATATTTGTTCTGATGTTGGATATGTGGAACAGTCATAAACTTGGGACCGTATTTCTTGGCGGATCTCCACAATTCCCATTTTTTCTTCTTTTTCATCGTTCTTCCTTTCTTTGTACCACGCTTCATTGATAACTTCATGAGCTCTACCTGTGAAGCAGACGATCCTACTCTTTCCAATTTGATCGGTAATGATGATACCTTCCCCGTAAAAATTCTGTAGTTTTCTCTTCAGATGCTTTTCACTATGCGGGTCCTCTTCAGGGCAGGTGTTTGTCATAAAGGTAATAAGTTGTGTAATAAAGGCAATAACGTGTGCTGGCACTCTTTATTGCTCTCAAGGTAATCACAAAGCTTTTGAAACCCCCTTAGACGATTTACCTGAAGAGGCCCTTGAAAACGCTTTCGGTGGCTAGGTAGGTCGACGCGAACCTATCCGGCAAAACGTCGCGTAGCAGTCACGGTGATATCGAGCATCACCAGCCACTAGATCGTTCTCGGTACATAGTTTTGGAGAAACTTCCCCGCCTCATGAATCAGCTCGGTCTGCAGCTATTGCACGTATAGTATGTATCATGTACACATCACACACAATTCTAAATGATATTTGGCGATCTGGATGCTTTTCCTTCTTGCAAATGTCCACAAAACATGCATTTTTGACGTCGTTCGGGCAGCTCAGGTGACTGATTCGTTTTGGTTGCTGGGCACCTGCACCGTTAGTGTGTGTAGGTACGCGACGCGTGTAAGCCTTCCTACAACTCTCATGCACTTAAACACTTTTTCTGCCCTCAAGTAATGCCGCAATGTCATTTCTTTCCTTACTCATCCAGCGTAAAGTGTCCCTGGCCCCTATTCACATCAACAAACTTACCACTTTCAATACCTTTACACAAAACGCACACGATGCTGTCCGACGTGGATTCCATAATAACAAAAAAAAAAAAAAACCCACAAAATTGATAAAACCCCCGCACTTAATGCAGTTTTCAGTCTTGAAACCCACCACTTCGGATATGTATTTTATACAGCAGAACACATTAAACATTAATAACACTTAACAGAACACAACTATTTTTTTACGATGCAACGTCGACTCACCAAGTAACCGCCGTAATATTGACATTTGAGTTG